GGTGAACATCTACATTAAAACTCAGCATGCTTCCGTAACCAAGTGTGAACACCCTTGGAACAAAAATAAAGAATACATAGAACATCTCAGGAAAAAGGAACAGAATATGTCAAAAAGAATCAAGTGGAGGGCCACAGTGTGGTAACCTAGTGGCTAAAGTCCTCTCCTGGTATGCTCTGGGATCCCATACGGGCCCTGATTTATGCCCTAACTGCTCTACTTCCCATCCTGCTCGCTGCCTGTGGCCTGGGAAAGCAGTAGAGGATGACTCAAAGCCTTGGGACCCTGCAACCGCATGGGAGACCTAGAAGAAGCAACTGGCTTTGGATCAGCTCAGCTCAGGCCATTGTGGCCACTTGGGGAATGAGTCAACAGATGAAAGATCTTTCTGTTGCTCCTTCTCTCTGTAAATCAGACTTTCCAATAAAGATTATAAATAATTTTTTTTTTTTTTTTAAGAATCAAGTGGAGAAGTGTAGAGGGCTGAGGCACCCCATACAATGCCAACTACCATGTGAGTATCAGTTTGAGTCCTGGCTGATGCACTTCTTGTCCAGCTCCCTGCTAATGTGCCTGGGAAAAGTGGAGGAAGATGACCCCCTGCTGCACCCATGTGGGAGACCCGGAGGAATCTCCTGGCTTTGGTCTGGTCTACCCCTGACCTCTGCAGCCGTTTGGAGAGTTCTTCTGTTTCTAATAATCATAATAATCATAATAATAAAATTTCTTATTAGAAATGAATCCGTGAGCAGAGAATAGAAATTAACCAAACTGAGTAGCACAAAACAGACTTAAAATAGAGCCACAATGACTTCTGATCTAACATTCACATCAAGAGTTTCAAGAAGATTAAGAAGACAGAGCTGAAGATCAAAAAAATAACAACTGAAAAACTTTCCAGATTTGGCAAAAACGCTTATCCACAAATTCAAGAAGCTGAATGAACTCAGACGGCATAAATGCAAGAAATTCATATGCAGGCATAGCATAGTCAAGTTTTAGGAAAAGTGAGGATGAGGAAAAAAAAATCCTGCGGCAGCCACAGAAATTTGCCACTTTGCTTGGAAGAAATGTCTGTGTTTGAGGGAGTTTTAAAATTAGGAACTCAACTTCCTGCACAGGAATTGGGCTGTAGCTGCAGACTCTGCGATTTGCCGAGGATGATACAACAGACATGCACAGTGCACAGAACCCAGGCTAGGGACTCCGATGAAGTGGATCAGCTTCTTGAAAGACACAGACGGCGTCGTTCACACAAACTGAGGTAGATCATTTCTATAGGAAGAGATGGTTTGTAATGGACTAGTATTTTTTTTAATGTGTGTACTTCAAGTTAGCTGCAGTGAAACCTTTCTTGTGGATTGAAAAGTAGGACATTTTTCTAGCTTAAGGAAAATTGTCTTCTCTAATTTGCTATTCTAAAAACATTGTACACATCTTGTTTATTTCATTTTTAGTCATTTTATAGCTAGGATTTAGGCTTATTTACTAAAATTGTTTTTAATGGTGTCTACATAGCTGATCAGGGTGGGAAGGATTGAAGGTTAGGGGAAAGTGGGTGAGACGATTGTTTCCAAAACTTTTCTTGCTTTTGTTTCTGAGAAAAGGGAGGAGACAATTGGAGAAGTCGCACCCAGCCTCCCAACCACCCCGGCACCCAGGGGTGCTGGTCACCCAATGTCATGGCCCCTGATTTGGAACACGCTGCAGGGATCTGCTTAGTAATTGCTGGTTTTGATGGTTCTGAGATGGTGTTGATCTTGCTATCCAGCGATAAGGAAATTCTTCCAAGGTCTGTTGGCTGACAGTCTACCTTAGAATCTCATTCACCCAGATATTTGCTGTCATTGCTTGACTCGTGTAGTTGTCCAATTTGTTCTGCCCTCCTTCCTCTGCCATAACACCAGGTGTCCTCTGCAGATCCCAGTGGCTGCCATATCCTCCATGTCCATCTGAGCATGCTACCCACTGCTCTGTCCCTTCTACTGAGGCCCAGTTCTGACACAGGCACTGCACAGTCTACCTACCCCGCAGTTCCCATGGTTGGAGTCGAGTCTAGCATTTTAGTTGGTGACAGGCGGGTGAGTGGGGGAATCCCCACAGGGGTCTTGTCTGAGGTGATCCCAGACCTGACTCTTGTATGTTTGCCAGTACAAGATCTGGTCAAACCATCTCCCACATTAGCAGCAACCCCCAACACACACACACGTAATAGTAATTGCTGGGTCAGTTCTATCTCCAGCCTCGTCTCCTACACAAACCAGTGGATTCTGTGGCCCAGACCAAACCAGCCCGCTACACACTCAGCCCTCATGTACATCAGCGAGAACTGCAGCCTAATCAGAGCCACCCCCAATAACTTTCCTTAGGCCCAGCCCCTGCCCTGGTTCCTGGGCATGCCAGTATATGCAACAGACTGGTCTAGTCTGTCCCACATCTCATTCAGCTCTCATACACATCAGTGGGCGTTAGAGCCTAGTTCAGTCCAGCTGATCCCACTATCCAGCCTGCACTCAGGCCAGTGGGTGCCACCACCTGTCTAACCAGGCCCTAACCCAACCCTGTTCCTCATGATCTCCAATGGGAGTTACAGCCCATCAGAGAGATGCCCAGTTTCCCTGCTGGGCCCACAACCAGGCCCAGATCTGACATTTGTCAGGTGGTTCTGCAGCTAGCTTGACAGGATTTGCCCTTAGTCCCAGCACTTGCCAGCTGATGCTGCAGTAAAGTCCATCAGGCTGCACAACTCTGATCCATGCATGTCCCAGTGGATACAGTCAACCCAGCCTGGCTGTTCCCCTAACCCGGTTCACATGCAGGCCAACAGGTATTGTAGCCTTGCCCGACCTGGTCACCCAGTTCCCATGCTTGCCAGTGGGAGCAGTAGCCTAGCAGGGGAGCCCATGCTGCCCCTCCCCCACCGGGCTTGCACCTTTCCCCCCTGGGTCTTACGTGGTTTGGAGGGTGCTGCAGCCCAGTCTGGCGTAGCTTGCCTCACCTCAGCATTTGGTGGCAGGTGCTGCAGCCTGGCATGACCCAGTGTGTGCCTGCTGCCAGCTCATGCTAGTGGGTGCTGCAGCCTAACTTGGCCCAGCCAGCCCCTGGTCACAGCCTTAATATGAACTGCCTGGTGCTGTGGCCCAAACCAGCCTGTCCTGCACATTATCCTGGTTATCAGATCTGCTGGTGGGTGTTATGAACTGGCCCACCCTGGCCTGCTCCTAGACCTGACCCACATGTATGCTGCCAGGTACTGTAACCTGGTCTGGTCTGGGCTGCTCCTCACCTTGGTTCTTGCACTCACCTGCAGGACTGAATCCTGACAGATGAGTTCTTCAAGCTGCTCTGTCAGCTCTCCTCCAGTGGCAGATCTCGCTCACACCAGTGGGACCTTGGCCCAAACTGACTTAATCCACCTGCTGTCCTGGCAGGAACAATGGCCTTGCCCAACTGGTTCATACTCATTCCAGTTCTTATTGTTGGGTGCTACAGCCCAGCCACAACTGGTACATGCCAGAACAGCTCTCGTATGGGTCATTTGGTGCCTAGATCTAGTCCATATGGTTTTTTACCCACCCTGGCTCTCATGAGCATCAGTGGGTGCTGGTCTAGCCCAGTCTGGCACAAACCAGACCCATCCATACCCATGCCAAGGGACACTGTAGTCATGTCCAGCCCAGATTGCCAGCCCAATTCCAGCTCTCGTGCTCACCAGTGGGAAGCACAACCTAGCCAGGTTGTCCTCTTAGCTCTCCGATAAGGCCTGCTGCCAGCCACAGATTCTGTGTGTGCCAGTGGTTGCCCTGACCCTGGTCAGCATACCCTTTCTCCCATCTTGGCCTTTGCTATCTGATGCTACAGCCTGGCCTGACCCCACCCACCCTAGTCCCAGCTGTCACTGGCGGGTGCTGCAGCCTAGCCCTATCCAGTCTGCTCCCATTTCTGACTCATGTAAACCACTAGGTGTAATAGGCTAGCCTGGCATGTTCATCATTCCATCCTGGCTCCTGCGCATTGCTAGTGTGTTATGGTTTGGTCTGACCAAACCATCTGCCTGATCCACGCCCCTCCAGAGTCAATTCACACATTTGGCAACAGGTGGAACTGCCTTTGTCCAGCCTGACCAACACCCAGGCCTGAATCACATGCTCACCAGCAGGAGCTTTGGCCCACCAGGGGCGTTTCCCAAGTTCCCCCACCAGACCCATTTCCAGATCTTGTATGTGCCAGTGGATGCCAGGTCCTTGCCTGACACAGTCTGCACCTTCCTGGCCACCTGGCCTATGTCTGGGCTGGTAGATGTTGCGACCCACCCGCACCCTATTCTTGGGTGTGTTTGCGGGTGTTGCAGCTTGAATCAACATGGCCTTTACCCAACCCCAGTTCCCATGAGTGCTGGATTCCATGGTCATGCCTAGCTCAGTCTGCCTTTCCCCTCTTTAAATGCCTGTGGTGGCTGAAGCAGGTACTCAGTCTAGGTCTCCGACATGGAAGACAGGGACTGGACAACTTGCACCATCAGCTGCTGCCTCCCAGAGCGAGCCTCAGCAGGAAGGTGGGACTCAGAGCAGACCAGAGGCTGTGGTGGGGGGGTGCCAGGTTGGGGCCAAGTGCACAGCCCTTCAGTACACGCACACCCTGATACCACAGCTGTGTTCTCTTTACTCTCATGGTGGGTTCTGCATTCCCTTTGTCTATAACACCTGGAGAGCATTTCTCTCCTACCATGGTTTGTAAGTTTTCAAGCTATGTGTGTTAATTCAAGCTCTGTGTGGTCTTCAATGGCTCCTTTAGGTTTTGGTAATAGACTTTGAATGGTGCTTGATGGGCTTCTTCCCAGCTTTAGTCAGCAGAACTCATGTTGCCTTCTTTATTTTGTTATAATGGACTCAAGATGGCCTCAGCAGAGCCGTCCCTGCGTGATTTCGTTGTGTCACCGAAGGGTTCCCGTGATGCCCAGTGCGGTATTTAACGGTGAGGTCTGTCTGTTCTCCTTCCAGATTAAGTTTGACAGCGTGGAGGTGTGCGTCTGCTGTGAGCTGCAGCACCAGTCGTCCGGCTGCAGCAATCTCGGGGAGACGCTGAAGCTGAACCCACTGCAGGAGAACTGCAACGCCGTGAGGCTGACCTTGAAGGTGACTCCTCTGGGCTCTGGCCCACGTGTGCTTGTGCCTGCTGCCTTAGACATTTTGGGAAGCTTAATTAGCATGTGGAAGTCTTCCAGCCTCCTCACTCACCCTGATAGGTTGAGTGCAAGAGGGGGAGTCTTTCCCAAGAACGTTTGGGATGTGTGCAGATTTCCATCCTGAAGGTGCTGCTTTCTGGATGACATTTTCCATTTTTACCATCTCATTTTCCTGCCTCTGAAATATGCAGAGTAGACTCTGGATGGTTGAAAAGAATCTTTGCACAAGATGATTGGATGGGTGCGTTGCCTGGCTTCTCTGACGTGTTTGCTGTAGCATCAGGGAGCAGATGGGGGTTTATTTTGCTTATTAAAAGGTATTTGGAGAAAGAAAACTTAAAGTCTATTCTCATGGGAAGCATTTGATTGTTTTTAAATGACATGGAGAATTGTTTATATTCTTTTCAATAAATCGTTTCAAGTATTTTTAATCCCTGAAAAGCAAAAATAGCTGCTCAAAAATACACATGGGCAGTTAACCCATTTGAGTTCTTTTTTCTGAGTTAAACTATGCAGAAATGTTTTTAGAAAAACATGGCATGGTTATAGGAACTCCCATCTGGTGGTAAAGTGGTGTTTCTGGTGTAGAAGGAGTCTGGTGTCAGGAATTCGCCTTTCTAAAGAGAACTACTGGGAGAGAAAGGAGGGGTGTGGCCTGCCGGAAGTGTGCACCTGTGACTAGTGCTCCATGGGCGGCGAAGCAGTGGGTGCGGGCTCAGCTCCTGTCTTGTTTCATGCCATGGTCCCTGTTCTGAGTCTCCCAGTCCTCTTGAATGACAAGCCCAACGAGCCTGGCGAAAGCCAGGAACGCAGTCCTCCAGGACCTGTACCAGTGCCAACGTTCCTTGGTGTCCTAAGTTGCATTCCATCCTGCGCCCTGCTTGGGCTCAGTGTCCAAGGCCTGCCCTGGTCTTTAAGCACCCTTGCAGAAGGGCTGTGAGTAGCCATGACTGTAAGACATCGATCTGACAACTCCCACGTGGGCGTGCTTTTCTTCCCATACAACTGTCTTCTCCTTATATGCATTCTAGTTTCCTGGTGTTGCTGTTAACCCACAGGCAGCTGCAGTTAGAAGAAAATTCCAGAGAAATAATTACTGAGTTTCCAATAATTTTTGTAACGGTTGACTATAAAATGTGTTGTATTCTGTTACTGTTTGTTAATGTTGCTCTCTCTCTCTGCCTTGTTTAAAGATGAAGCATTAGCATAGGTGTGTATCTGTTGGACACAACAGGATGTGTAGGTTTTGGTACTATCTGCAGTTTCTGACATACACCGGGGGCAGTCTCCAAAGGTATCCCACCCCCTGAATAAGAGGGTGCTGATCTGTTTACCAAACTGAATAAGATGATGGGTGACGCTGATCACGATGCACCCTGTTGGTTCTCAAAGGAGCTCGAAGATCCACGGGGGAATCATGCCACTCTGCAGGCCACTTGGGTGTGACACGCAGGTGAGGCCATGAAATACCTCCCAGTCCTCGGGTGCAGGTTGGGGTGCTTACCATGCTCCCCCAAAGCCCTGAGTTCTTTCTGACACCCTGACTCAGCAGGTCCTGGGAACCATGTACATGGATCTTCAGCCCCCCAGGAAGGTGTTTGTGGTGTGAAAGGTCACAGCTTCATTAGGAAAACCTTCTCAGGCCTGCAGACTTGGGTACAGGTGCATGGTGACCTGTGGTCTCACCTTTACCCACTGTCCAATGCCTGATAAGGGCATCTTGAGCGGGGCGGGGGGAGTCATGGCATTGAATAAAGAGAAGGATACTGAAAGTAAGATGTGCCAGTCACATGGGCCCACCCCATTGCCCAAGACAATGGTAAGAGCTGGAGGCAAAAGAAAGACTATCCCAACTTTCACCCTCAGGGTGTGATGGGGACCATCAGAGCTGGTGGCATGAGGCTGAAGGAGGCAGTGGGGCGCACAAAGTGTCAAGGGCTACAAGAAAGTTGGTAAGACCATTGTTTCCACATTAATATTTTTTTCTTTATATCTGAGGTAAGGGAAGAGATAAAGGAAAAGGCCCCACCCAGATTCCCATCCATCCCAGGTCCCCAACATGGGGCATACTCCAAGGGTCCTGCTCATGCCGTTTTGATTGTTCAATAGTCTGAATTGCTGCCAATCTCGCTGGTTCAAGCACAATGAAATCTCTTCAGAATCTACTGGCTGACAAGTCTCTTCATGATTGGGGTTCTGAAATCAGCAGTTCAGTTGGAGGGATTCCCAGAGAAACTTCATCTGGGGTGATCCTCAGACCTGATTTTTGTGTGTGCTTGCCAGTTCAGGGCCCGGCACAGTCCATCGCCCCAATCAGCTTATCCCTATGCTAGTGGTTTTAATTGTTGGGTCAGTTCTGTTTCCACACCTGTCTTCCCCAAGAACCAAGGGTGTTATATTCCAGCCCAATCCTGTCCACTTCATGCTTGGACCTCATGCAAATCAGTGGGAGCTGCAACCTAGTTGGGACGACTACCCATGATCCCCACCAGGCCTGCCCCCTACCCTGATTCCCATGCTTGCCAGTATGTACCGCAGACTTGTTCAGTCTGTCCCACATCCCATTTAGCTTTCATACATGTCAATGGGCATTGAAGCCTAGTGCAACCCAACCAGCCCTACTATCCCGCCTACACAGATACAGATGGGTGCTGTTCTGTCTAGCCACCCCTGCCCCAATCCTGGTTTTCATGCTCTCCAGTGGGAGTGGTAACCCAAGAGGGAGGCGCCCACTATTTCCCTACTAGGCCACTCCTACTCCCAGATCACGCACTCTGCAGTTAGTTTAACTTGACAGAATTAGCTCCCATTGCCAGCCTCTGCCGGCTGATGCTGTGGCAAAGCCCAACCAACCCTCACCTACTCTAATTTTTGCTTGTACCAGTAGGAGCAATCAGCCTGCCTGACTTCCCTGATCTAGCTCACATAAGGCCCACAGGTGTTGTAGCCCTACCTGGTCTGGCCTGCCTCCATCCCAGCTCACGCTCTCCAATGGGAGTAGCTGTCCAGCAGGGAAGCCCTCCACATCCCCCCTACCATCTTTGTCCCCTCCCTCCTGGTTCTCACATGTGCTGGTGGATGCTGCAGCCCAGTCTGGTACAGCCCACTTCACCTTGGCATTTATCAGTGGGTGTTGTAGCCTGGCCTGGCCCGGCCCACTCCCAATTCCAGCTGACGCTGGTGAGTGTTACAGCCTAGCTAACCCTCCAGGCATCCAATCCCAGTCGTAATATACACCGGTATGTGTTGCGACCATATCTGGCCTGACCCACACTCTGCTCTGGTGCTTAAATTTGCCAGTGGGTAATGTCAGCTAGTTCGGCCTGGTCTCCTCCGACCTGTGCCAAATGTATGCCAGTGGGTACCTTTCCCTGACCTCGTCTGGGCTGCTCCCTATCATGTTTCTTGCACTCACCTGCAGGAACTGTGTCCTGCCAGAGGAGTTGCCCAGGCTCTTCCTTCAGAACCTCTCCTATTGCCAGATCTTGCACAGACTGGTGGGTCCATACCGCATAGTGGTGGGTCCATGGGCCGGCCCTACTTAGTCCACCTCCTGCCCTAGCAGGAACAGTGGCCTTTCCTCACTGGCCTTCAGCCCATTCTAGTTCTTACTGTTGGATGTCTCATCCCAGCCAAGGCTCGTCCATACCCACACAGTTCACACGTGTCTCAGTAGGGGCAAAGACACATGAGGCTCTTGAACGGATGCCTAACCCTTAATGTGAACTCAGACATCTCGCTGTGTTTAAGCAAAAAGCTTAAGAAATAAGCAAAAGCTTACGTAATATTCGGTGCCTCCTTCTCTCTGCTATAAATACTCCTTCCTCTTAGATTTCAGTGCTACTTTACCTACTTGTCTCATAATTCAGGGTTCAGCCATTTCTAATATAATCTACTTGAGAACAGTTGTTGGAGCCACACTCAGCTTGGTGGTGTTTAGTGCAGCAGCGGAGTCTTCTGCAGGGACGTGGGGCTGCTTGGCTCTGGAGGGTCTTGGGCCCTCCAGCATGCATGATCCCAGCTGGTGGGAAAAGGGGTCAGCCTTGGCAAGGGCTGTTTCATCCCAGGGTCCCACCACTTGCCAAGCATCCTTGACACTTAGCAAGGGAGGGACTAAGGGCAATATTCCTTTGATTTGTTCCTCTTGCTTGCTCCTTGTGGGTCAGCAATTAGAGTGGGTTCATTGATCTTTCCCAACATCTAATTTGAGGCTCTGTTTATCTGATTAGTAACACACCACCACATGTAAATTTCCATATTAAATTATGGATTATCCTTACTAGGTATCTAATGAACTCAATTTATGCTTAGGAAATCCCATTTAATTGGCTTGGGAATCAAGGTTCTTTGATTTTCGTTGTGTTTGAATGAACTGGAACTGACTTAATGAGATTTGTCTAATCACTTACTTTTCTGTGGTGCCACCCTCCCTCCCCCCTATTCCCATCCCTCTGACACCTGCAGGGTGGAAACAGAAGCCCGTCTTCATGGGAAAGAGGAGGGTACTTCCAAAAACTTCCTGCAAAGTGCATTTAGAAAGGGTACTGTGGTATAAAGAAGTTTTGAAGTCCAGGCATGTTGTTTTACATAATGTGCATTTTCCTGACATTTTTTTGTCGGAGTCCAGCTCCAGCTGAGTTCGGAGCTTGGAAAGTAGCCATGGAGCAACAGCCAGGACTTTCCCACCACATTTCTACTTCTACAATTTACCCATCATTTAATGGGAAAATAAGTTATAAGGGAAAAAAACTTAAAATCTAAAACAGAAACTTAAATGTTAAATCTCCCTATAACTATAGACTCCTACAACCCCATAAACAATAAAGCAATATTTAAAAGCATTTTTCTTTGATAAAAGCATCCTTAATTCCTCTAGCTAAAAATCATAAAAGCAGCTAAAACGATTATATTTTCTAGGCTCCTAAAAATTGCAAAGACAAGTTAGCCTTT